TTTAATATAATTCCATAGAAACTATAACTTATAAATTATGTCTTAAAAAATTTCATTCTAGTATCAACTATGATTATACGATGTACGTTTTTGGAGAATTTTGAGGTATATAAAATTCAAGAGAAATCTAAAATATGAAATCGAATCCCTTGAACATCTATTATAAGCACTGATTTTAATTTCGACAGTTGAGATCATGAGTCAATTGATTTTAATGAAGAAAAAAATTGGAGTTTAATTTCAGTAATAATCAATAATTTTTCCCATAAATTATAAACGATCATTTTAATCAATAAATTTCGTTGTTTTACTATTAATTTGAGTGTAACGTTTAAATTAATTAAAAATATTATCAGATTTATCTTTTTTATTCAAACATTTCTGACACATTCAACATAATTGATATACATGTTAATTATGGTGGTCGGAATCGCTCGTGAATTCATTATTTTCGTTAGTTTACATAGGCTAAAATAGGCTGATTAATTATGATCTTAAATATCAATGGAATGATCTGAACAACTAGTATCTATAACTTAAAATTTTAGTTAGTGGTCTCGTTACAGGGTTGATAATAACGTGTTTAACGTAATTAGTGGTTTTGTGATCTTAAAGAAAGGTCCCGTTTTTCTTAAAGCTAAGTAATGTGAAATTTCAAAAAATTGAATTTTGTTAGATTGAAGATTACTTTCAATGGTTGAGATCATGAGTCAGTTGAAGATAGATCACAACGGAAAACCTGGAAACACTGGACTGTAATTTCATCTTATTGTGGGACGCTTCAACAGTGCTCATCCACGATCCCGCCTCGCGAGATTTGAACCCAGGTCCTATCAGTCTCGCGCACGAACGCTCAACCACTAGACCATTGGGCCGACCGGCATCCAACGGTGTTGATGTCTAACCTCAACCAATCCACGAAGTTGCGCCATTGTACATCATTGTCTTCAATGAGTTACTTTCTTACAACAGACCTGGTTGAACTCCACTGGTCACTGCTTCTCACTAGAAATCTAGGATATACCTCTTGAAGTAAGTCACTAATGAGCATATGTTGATTAATATCAGAAGGGGTTTTGTGGATATCATATCCAGGTTTTCCATGATGGTCTAGCTTCGACTGATTCATGATCTCAACCATTTAAATTACTATGATATCCACAAAACCCCTTCTGAAGATAATTTGTTGAATCTTTCTATCTTGTGAAGGCTTGCTTTGTCATTTAGGAAATTTATAAATTCCAATTATTCATAAACTGTATTAGACTTTTACGACCGTTAAAAGAATACACATTTGATATAGTAAAATTTCTAATAATTGACCTCTAATTTCAAGTGATTGTTAAAATGAGTCATATATTTATTATATAAAATAAAGTCTGTATGATGAAGCAAAGAACACAAAACAAATGGGATATACATAGATGAATCTAACTAGATACATTATTTCTACAAGAAGTCAATCAGTTAACCAATGAGGAACATAACACAATTTGATACATATATTCATTAGGGTATATCAAGATAATTATAGAGAAAATTTACAAATAATGCAGTATAAATAATATTCTCAACGATAGTAAGGAACTAAACATTAGGAATACACTTCAAAAGAAACAAATGAAACCAAAAAAGAAAACAAAATCTGGAATAATACTATTATTCAGGTGTATATTATGCGCATTTGTAAAAAAACAAAAAAAATGTAATTACAATGAGAACTATATAGAATACCTTATGAGACAATCATAAATTTCACAGACTAATTCATTACATCTGGTGTCATATAATCTAGGTTAAATTGGCAAAATGTAGTAATATAAGTAGTAACAAAAGTATTGATATTGAATATCATATTTTTTTTCTTTCATTTTTTCTTCTATATTCTATCCTACCTAGAAACTGGATGAATGGGTATACAAAAATATCATTTATCTAATTTTTATCCTCATTATTATTATTATTGTAATTATCCTCATGGAGATATTTTTATTTATTTTATTGAACATCTGTTGTAAATTGTAATGAATTTTTATTTAATTAATTTAAAATAGAACGTTTTATCTTTTATTTTTTTAGGGTTATATATATATATATATATATTACTTACAGACCTCATAATTTTGTTTCTTTCTGTGAACAGCGGTGAAAGATAGTTTCTGTCATAAATCGATCACTAATTGGATATTTATTGAAGGCTACAAAGTACTAAACAATAATTTTATTGTATTTAGAGAGAACTTAGTGATAAGTATCATTTCTGTTATATGGATAATGGATAGTAGGATAAATATTTGTTGGCCACTAAGTTAATAACCAATTAGTCTATTTTACAAAATTGAGTATATTTACAATATGGTTAGTATCACTACTTGATGAATACAATTTAGAAACCTGATAGTGTTATTTTAATAAATGTTTAGTTTGGATATAATATTATCTAAGTATATTTGATCCTGGACTTGTATAGTTTAGAATTTTGGTTTTATAAGCAGTTTCACATTATGGACTGAATTCAAGATAATTATTGAAAACCAATGCGAATTGGACAGTTTTTTTGTTATTGTATTATGGACATTCTCACGAGTTTATACTCATAATCCAATGAACTTTGTGACTAGCGTGTTGCCTTTAAAACATTATTTTAGCACCCATTGATTTAGTTTCTCAACTTTAGTCAGTTTATCAATATGGGAGTTGTGGAGATTATTAAGTTTTTCATTGAGATCATGAACCGATTGATGTTAGACCACAGTTGGAAATCTGGAAGCACTGGACGTCATTGTTGTTTGGCTATTAATTCTTACCAACAGTGGTAACAATCCCATTATCAACATGGATTAACTACAGAGATTAATTGTTTTTATTGTAACTTCGATAATACATTTCAAATTTAGTTACTAGTGAACACATTAAACAATACCCATTAACCTATCATAACAATAACGTTCATTTGGTCCATGATTTCTAATATAACTGAGCATAAATAATTCTTATTTTCAGTATGATACAAAATCATTTTCTTAATTAATCTGCTTTTTTTGTGAATAGTTATATAGATTCATTGGGTTTTATTAGTTATTGATCATTTATTTTCTTTATCAATTACTAGATATAGATTTGTACTAAAAATAAGGTTAACTGAACTTTTGAAACTATGACATCATAATTGTATGGTCGTTCATATTTTCAACAACATCTTGATTGATCTTCTGAATCATATATATATATATATATATATATATATATATATATATATATATATATATATATATATATATATATATGCTTTTGAATAGTAGTTAAACAAATCCAACATACATGAGTTTCCTAAATGCTTAAACACTACTTTTCTTATACCTTTAGATGTTATTTGACGATGATGTACATATGATGTTTTCACTGGTTGAAATCATGAGTCAGTTGAAGGTAGTCCACCATTGAAAACCCGTTTTGTCCTAGTATGGGACTCCTCAGCAATGCTCATCCATGATCCCGCATCCCGCGAGATTCGAAACCAGAACCAGTCAGCCCCACGCCAAGTGCTTGACCTCTAGACCACTGAGCCGGCATCCATGTTAGACATTAACACCGTTAGGTGCCGAGTCAGTGGTCTAGTTGGTTAAGCGCTTGGTGCGAGACTGATAGGTCCTGGTTTCGAATCTCGCGAGGTGCGGGATCATGGATGCGCACTGCTGAGGAGTCCCATACTAGGACGAAACGGGCGTCATGTGCTTTCAGGTTTTTCATGGTGGTATAGCTCCAATCGACTCATGATTTCACTCAGTGAAATTTTTAAAATCTCCACAAAACCCCTTCTGATATGACGTTTTGTCTAAAATATAAATAAATCTTCTTAATTTCAAATTAAGACAAAACAAATAATGAACTTAAGTTGTTTTTCTTTCAATAAAATGAAAATAATTACACTCCAGTTCTGTAAAAATTCGTTGCTCGTTAACAATTTTGAAGTGTATGACTGTACAGTGCAATGATGCGAAATCAAAAGATTTTCAATAACTTGAAACAAGAATGGAATGAAAGGAAGAAGATTCTAACTAACCACACCTAAATATTTCAGTTTTGGAAAACTCACAGTTTATTTTGTATATCCGTATTACAACCAACAATTTATTTTATTGGTGGATGCTCAGCTCATGTTACAGATGTATTATTCAGATGAAGTGTAATTACCTTATATGTAATCAAAATACAATAGTTATAGTGGTTTTCTGGTTGAAAAAAATTGTCATGTTAGGCATTTGAATGAACGTGGTAAGAAACCTTTGACCAAGATCTCATGGAAGGTTGTACTAGTTAGTTAGGCATATCTACAATATGGAAGAAAAAATCTGTTTTGACATAAGATTTGAATTCTTGTCGTCTAGTTTCACAATTGGAAACACTATCATCAAGGTATTTAGGGCTGGAACTGACCTTTTATGGAATTGGAATATAGATATGTCTATTAAACATATAACAACAATACAATAATCTTAAACCATTTTCACTTTATTTTTCAGAAATTCTATTAAACTGACATTATTATTTATAAGCAATTGTTTTGATAATCTATTGCAACTTTAGGTAGGGTTAAAAAACACGTAGGATTACTAGAATCATTGAATGGTAGAATGGCTTAATAATCCGTATATATTAAAAGAGATAAGCTGTAACCAAGAGTTTTACGTCAGTCTCTAATAACGGTATTTTTCTAGTAAATCCCCTGGATACTATCAGCTATTATATGAATTATCATGACGGACAAACTAAATCGATTATTTGTTGATCAAGTCAGTATAATATAGTTAAAATGTCACATTGTGTATAGACGAATTATTCCTACATAGAAGAGTGACATTTATAACCACATCTTTTTTTACTATGTAAACTTATGATTGTATAAATACTAGTAGAATATGAACATTAGGTGTATAACACCTTAATGCTTTACTTGAAAGTAGTCTATTTCAACTAAAAATATACTGATAAGAAAAGTACTATAGAAGGTAGATGAACATCATCATCATCATCATCATCATCATCATCATCATCATCATCATCATCATCATCATCATCATCATCATCATCATCATCATCATCATCATCATCATCATCATCATCATCATCATCATCATCATCATCATCATCATCATCATCATCATCATCATCATCATCATCATCATCATCATCATCATCATCATCATCATCATCATCATCATCATCATCATCATCATCATCATCATCATCATCATCATCATCATCATCATCATCATCATCATCATCATCATCATCATCATCATCATCATCATCATCATCATCATCATCATCATCATCATCATCATCATCATCATCATCATCATCATCATCATCATCATCATCATCATCATCATCATCATCATCATCATCATCATCATCATCATCATCATCATCATCATCATCATCATCATCATCATCATCATCATCATCATCATCATCATCATCATCATCATCATCATCATCATCATCATCATCATCATCATCATCATCATCATCATCATCATCATCATCATCATCATCATCATCATCATCATCATCATCATCATCATCATCATCATCATCATCATCATCATCATCATCATCATCATCATCATCATCATCATCATCATCATCATCATCATCATCATCATCATCATCATCATCATCATCATCATCATCATCATCATCATCATCATCATCATCATCATCATCATCATCATCATCATCATCATCATCATCATCATCATCATCATCATCATCATCATCATCATCATCATCATCATCATCATCATCATCATCATCATCATCATCATCATCATCATCATCATCATCATCATCATCATCATCATCATCATCATCATCATCATCATCATCATCATCATCATCATCATCATCATCATCATCATCATCATCATCATCATCATCATCATCATCATCATCATCATCATCATCATCATCATCATCATCATCATCATCATCATCATCATCATCATCATCATCATCATCATCATCATCATCATCATCATCATCATCATCATCATCATCATCATCATCATCATCATCATCATCATCATCATCATCATCATCATCATCATCATCATCATCATCATCATCATCATCATCATCATCATCATCATCATCATCATCATCATCATCATCATCATCATCATCATCATCATCATCATCATCATCATCATCATCATCATCATCATCATCATCATCATCATCATCATCATCATCATCATCATCATCATCATCATCATCATCATCATCATCATCATCATCATCATCATCATCATCATCATCATCATCATCATCATCATCATCATCATCATCATCATCATCATCATCATCATCATCATCATCATCATCATCATCATCATCATCATCATCATCATCATCATCATCATCATCATCATCATCATCATCATCATCATCATCATCATCATCATCATCATCATCATCATCATCATCATCATCATCATCATCATCATCATCATCATCATCATCATCATCATCATCATCATCATCATCATCATCATCATCATCATCATCATCATCATCATCATCATCATCATCATCATCATCATCATCATCATCATCATCATCATCATCATCATCATCATCATCATCATCATCATCATCATCATCATCATCATCATCATCATCATCATCATCATCATCATCATCATCATCATCATCATCATCATCATCATCATCATCATCATCATCATCATCATCATCATCATCATCATCATCATCATCATCATCATCATCATCATCATCATCATCATCATCATCATCATCATCATCATCATCATCATCATCATCATCATCATCATCATCATCATCATCATCATCATCATCATCATCATCATCATCATCATCATCATCATCATCATCATCATCATCATCATCATCATCATCATCATCATCATTATTATTATTATTATTATTATTATTATTATTATTATTATTATTATTATTAGTATTAGTATTATTATTATTAGTATTACTGTTATTATTATTTTTGTTGACGTTTCAAAATCCATTTTAAATTCATTGACTATGTGTTAGGACCCGAGTTATACCCAGTAGATTAAGTATTGGTTGATATGATGGAAAGAAAAGTCAATTTTCTATTGAATTACTTATTATGAGTTTTATTCAATATGACATCCGTTTCGATTCAACATGAGGATCATTCAGTGTAGTATTTGATTGTATTTCCAGTATGATATTTTCTTCTGTATAATATACGATATTCTTGCATTCACTTGACATGAACTATGCTCAGTAAATGATTTGTTATAACTGAGTATGTGATCCAATCCTAATATTTTTCAAAATGGGTGTGTAATCAATATATAAACCAGTGTGTTTTAGACGATATTGATTCGTCGTTGTCATAGTGTTTAAGGCTAATAAATCTTCACTTATACCAGTCTTGTGTTCTTACTTTCACATCGCGGGAATTGCCGTGGTCCCTCGTTCCGAGTATAAGTGATCAGCGTTTTTGTTTTTCCGGCACAACAATTGCGACGACCGAACACAACACTGTTTCTAAAATATTTACAGTTGATAAAATGTATCATGTAAGTTTTGTTGTTCTTGCTTTTTGTAAAATCATCAATGGAATCAAATGTATGAATTAAAACTAAAAATAAATATATTTAGTCAACCTCTGGAAGTTTATGATTACAGGTTTAAATTACATAACCATTTAATATGACCAGTCTCAAATTTTCTCTTAACATTCAGTGTCTAATCTTAATGTTTATTGATAGCCCAGATATTTTTTGAAATATTATAGTCACACTGAATAGTTAACACTTTTTAAAGCAAACTAATTTCAGTAGCCTATATTAATTTTATCATTAATATTAATTGTACATAAGCTGAATTAAAATGGTGATAAACTGAACAAAGATATTTCCTTAATAAATTCTCAAATTTACAGTTGTTTGAATTGGCAATCATTACCAAATTCCAAAACCTTTATGATTAACTGAGTACTTTAGCTCTTACATCTTTAGAGAATCAAAGTTTGTGTAAAGCTAAACTAGTGAATATAGTGCATCTATTTCATGTTTCTGGACCAAATCATAAAAGTATATTAACTTCTCGGTATTCCAAATCATTAAAAAATTATGAAATAATACTGATATTCTTTTTTGGTTAAACTTGATAAAGGATCAGATGTTGTTGTTATGAATAAGTCGGATTACAAAAATTAAATGGAATCCATTATTAGTGACGAAAGCAAATTTATAGCCGATGTTGACTCTGATGGGTTACGTAAATTAGAAAGGAAAGTCGATTCGAGTCTAATGAAATTATTTGAAAAGAATGCTGTTAAAAAAGATGAATTAAATTTATTAAACTCTATGGGTTCAGTGTATTCTGATCAATAGGGACCACTAAAAGTTCATAAGCTCAATATCCCCTTATGAGCAATTCTATCAATTTTGCAAAATGGTTCACAAAGTGTTAAACCATATGTGAAACCAGTTTCATAAATATTCTTTGAAAGACCTATTTGAATCAGTTAACTATTTAATGGATATTAATATAAAAACTATGACATTGTGTTGCTTTATGTAAACACTTTGTTTATGCATGTGCCTCTAAGGAAAAGCATAGACATATTATGATACTAAATCTCACTAAATAACTTTCCATCGACATTTCCTGTGAAAACTCTCTAATATTTATTATTATGTACTGACAATATGAAATTCACTTTTGAGAGAGAGCATTTTCAAAAGAGTGATTGCGTGGCAGTGGATAGTCCTTTAAGACAATTGCTGTCTAATATGCTTATTTCATATGTGGAAAATCTCGCTGAAGACTCAACTCAAAAGATGTGTTTGTATAAGCAGCACGTGAATTGTAAAATAATACAATCGGAAGCGGAAACATATTTTTAATGGGAAAAGTTACAAGGCATTTACATAATATATATACATAGCCTTCAATTATCCACTTAAAACTTTTGATGTGTTCTGCAATCTGAACTCTTTTCTCACCTGGTCTTCACGTGTTCTGCCAACGCCGTGTTTCGCTCCGTTCGACAAATTGGAGGCCATATTCCACAGCATATTATTTACAAGCAATGTTGCGAGCGGCGTCCACTTCAGGATGACATCATAGTCATCGGTGATAAACATGGAGACATGGGTTGCTTGCTAATGGAACTCAATACAACTCAAAAGCATATTTCTCTTAAACGAGAAGAAGGAATGAATAACCAGCTTTCTTTTCCAGGCATAGTTACCTGTAAAAGAGACGATGATCCCATCAAACGTTTCCTATATAGAAAGTCGACACGGACAGGGTAACATCTTAGTTTCCAGCACAAATGTGGACTAATAAGGGGCTTATTCAATAGGATTTTTGGTATTTGTACTAGCAATATTATTTAGGGAGACGCGAAGCTATTAACTGAAAATTGATGGATAACAATTATTCGTTGAACCTTATGAACCACTGGGAAGGTAGCAGTTTGAATAGACGTACGATATTTTTGGGACCCAAAAACGGGATCTTATTTTCTTACCACTTAGAGTTGACTCAAGTAGTCTCATGTTGAAATGGAGACTTAAATTAGCTATCAATAGAATATTTTATGCCGGCTAACTCATCATTATTGAAAAGTCAAGATCTATGTATCACAAAAAACCCAAACAGCATTTAAGTGGTTGTATTGAATCCCATTGCGTCTATCAATATGCATGTATGTGCTGAAACACGTATGTGTAGAGGAGCAATCGCGAGTTGAATGTAAGGGTGGATGAACACATAACTAAGCGGCCGCAAAAACAAATGAAGTCGAATGGTCCATTAAGGTCACAAGATAGACGAACATTCCCCTCCATCGCAAAACATTTGTTTGGGACAGGTAATATTGTTGATGTCAAGTGAGCCATTGCAGTTTTGTACAAACACTTTTAAGAGTGTATACTAAGGTTTATTGAAACCTTGACTATACGAAAACCGAAACCCCCTTTATGTGTTCAAAAACAATTTGTTCTTACACTTAACCTACTTTGATAGCACTAATTTATTATCCAGAATAATTTTCACATTTTTTACTTTATTATTACTATTATTTTCGTTTCCCCTACCTTTTAACTTGTCTAGTTCAACTTTTATTTTTCAGATATAATGTTTCGACAAGTATTTGTGCGATCAGACTGTTTGAAATGCATTGCACACATATATCATGTAATTCTGATTCATTGCGTTATCTAAACTCATCACTTTCTACACTTATAAATCTGAATTAATGTTACAAAGGAGACAGTTAAGCTTACACAAAATAAGATTTTTATAATTACAGCATATGAATTTAGGAATGTTAGTGGAATGAAATAAAAATTAACTATTGAAATGGCTAGTGTGTAGTGTCCTCTTGCTCCACTGTTGCAGTTGAATCGATAGTTACAAAAAATGGTCGGAAGATAAGGCAGTTCATCCTTCAATTTTGCTGTCACTACAACATTAGTTGTAGTTTTCTTGTGTTAAACGTTCTTCTCATTGCACTAAATAAATTCAGAATTAACATGTCACTTGGTGAATTACTTTAACTGGTAAATACATAAAGACAGTTTTGTTTACCAATTAAAATTCTTATCCTTTTATTTTCTTGACTAGGCATTTGTTTATGAACATTTTGGGTATCATTTCTTCTTTAACATATTATATAGACCACTCACTTCTTCTACGATCGTATCCGAAAAGCATATGATAATTATTCTGTAATGAACAGTTTTCAAAGAACTTCGTTTTTATTGTCCAGTCGCAAAATTAATAAAGTTTGTGCATTTTCTTGTTCATATACCTTTCACACTCATGTTCTTTCTTTACCATCCGTGATCAATCACCCCACCCTACTGTATCCCTTCGTAATCGTCAACCAAGCATTTGATCTGATTTGTAATTATATAATTTCTCTCACTCAATGTATATCTTTATTTATTCTGATTATTAGTCTCATAATTTCATATGATCTATGAATTGATTCAAGTTGACATAACACAATAGCTACTTAAATACTAACAGTTTTATTGCATTTTACCAGTCATTTTAAATTCGTTTGCCGTAATTATAAAAGATTTTTGTTGTTGTTGTAAACATGATTATCTTCGTTGTAACATTAACTTGAACCTGATGAGAATTTACTGTTTAGTGTATCTTTGTTTGATTTAAATTGGGAATTTTTTCAAATGTTATGGTAGTGGAGAAGATTTGTAGCCCATGTGGATGATTTTGGTGGAGTTTTGTTCTCTGAGCTCATAGAACAAAATTCCATCAAATGTTATGGTATGATCATACTGTTATAAGATTAAAATATTGATTTGAAAATATATATTAATATATATTAAATTAAAGATTAGTATAAGTTTGTTAGGAATCTTAACAAACTAATATATAAATTTGTTATATCTGGTAAGGGACAATTTTTTATGAGTCAAGTTGACAAAACTTTACAAATGTATGTGTAATATGAATACCACAATACTATTGATAAGTATAATTTGATTTTATGTTATGATTAAGAATTGTTCATCAGTTAGATCCCGTTTTGGATATGTAAAATTATTGAAATATTTAAAGAGTTATTCCATATACTGATTGAAGACTGTCAGTCAAGCTCTAAGAATTTCATTGAAACATGAAAAAAAAACACAACTGAATTATTATCAGAAGGGGTTTTTGTGAATATAGTTGAAATCATGAGTCAATTGAAGATAGATCACCATGGAAAATCTGGAAGCATTGGACAGTCGTTTCGTTCTATTGTGAGACTCCTTGACAGTGTGCATTCACGATCCCACTCCACGAGTATTGATTATCATTAGTGGTCGATCAGATAAAAGATTTTTGTATATATAAAGCATCGAATAATTCATTCAAGTCTCAGCTAATAATGATATTCACAAAAGATAAACAATCATTCAATATATATATATAATAAAGTACTAATTATAAATTCTAATGTTTTAGCCGATTCTATTGTTAAATCATAAATGTGACTTTAATCATATGCATCTAGACTGAATATATTTCATATAAGTTTAACTTGAAAATACTAAGCTTCTTTGTTGATAAAATCTAATGAATTAATTTTAATAATTCTTTTAATCTACCATGTATACGGAATCACTGAACCATTCATTGTATTATTCGATTATTATTATTATTATTATTAAAAACAAAACAAAAAAGATTGAATAAATTATTACGAATATGATTTGTTAACATAATTCTACCAACCAGAATGTTGATAAATGTTCACTTACTAAGCAAATAAAGATGGATAAACATATACACACATAGTAAGGAGACCGGTTGAATTATGAAATATTCAGTTGGAGTGTTGTATTCTTGACTAGTTGTAGTGATTTAATGAAATATGAGCAGTTTATATAATTATTTATTTATTTATTTTACTTACACACACACACATACTACTACATACACCGTAGATACACATAGAAACTGACCTATTGATCTAGAAGACAGGAACGGCACACTAGTGAATTAATTGACTTGGTTTATTGTTAAGTTAGTCAACCTTCATGTTTATTTGTTCTGTTTTTATGATTGTGTGTCATTTGTTTGCATAATCACCTGTTTAAATATATCCATATATATGTATGACCTTCACAGTTTTTCTCTATGTCAGTTTCATACCAAAAAAGAGATTACATTGCTTTGCCTTATGATTGACTGTCTGTTGTTGTATAAGTAAGCGTGAGCTTGTGTTTTAGTGTTTGTGTGCATATTTGTGTTGACATAAATGTAGTCTAGGGTGTTAGATGTATCAGGTTTCATTAAAACAGCGGCTGGTATCTAATCGTCATATACCGAATCCACATTTAATCAGAGTGTTTAGGAATAAATGAAGCAAATTAAATTGTATTGAAGGTAGGTTCGTAATTGATTTTTCTTTTGTTTGAGCTTAATTAAATTATTTTAAATACATGTATCTTTTAATAAATAAAGTTTATATTATAAAATTTAAATGCTAAATCATGCTGATAGCAAAGAATAATGAGTGATTAATCCTTGTAATGCACCGTCAATGAGATTGATTTCAGCATGTATGAATTTGTGACTACGTAAAACGAAGCTAGGTGTTCATAATTCTTGAGGTCGTAGTGTTCCCGTCAAACTAAATAAATTGCATTAGTAAACTCATTCGGAATTTCAGAGATGTAAATAATATTTTCTCATTTAATTACTTAAAGAAGAAGGAGATTGATTATGAATACAATGGTCTTGAGTGCTGTTAGAGATATGAGGGTGATTATCACTTCCCGGTTGCCCACACTGTGGAAATTATCATTCAGAATAATCGATAACACTATCTGAATAAGTATGATAACAAAGTTAGTGACTAGATTCTTAAGTAAAAAATGAACCAGTAATTACAAAACACTAATCCACTATTATTAATCTGAAATTCTTGTATACTTTATTATAGTATAAATGCTATTCTAAAAGCCTAACATAACTCAGTACTCTGAATATCACAGAAATTTAGTCTAACCGTTAGAAGGGTATTTTTGCTGTGTTTATATTTATGAGAAAAAAGCTCACTGTTGATAGCCATTTTTGTAATAATAGTTTTCCGGCTTCAAGTCTGTTGATGGTAAATGGTTGTAAATAATAAGTTTATATTCCGTTTACTGTTTAGTTAAAAGGACGTTTCGTTATATTCTGGCATTACTAGGATTGTTTGCAACAGTTTCTAATTTATATATCGTATTTTCTCAATCTCTCAATGGGATTGAAGTTCCTTCCGCTCTTATTTACTTACTTAAATACTTTTTTATCCTTCGTGGGGAATATGTCACTTACTAAAATTCTCCAACTCACTATGTCCTAGGCTTCACCTAGATTGTTTAGGAATGTAGCGACTTGGGTCTGAAAAACATACCATTAAACTTCAAGTTGAATTATTGACAGTTTTTGAAATATAAGATATTGACGAATAATTTAAAAACAACTGATGTCCAGTGATCTACCATAAACTATCTTAGTTCAAACAGTTAAGTGGTGTTTAATTTTTATTCATTTCCTAAAATGTACTCATATATTTCAACTATTAAAGCTAGAACGTCCAAATTAAGTCATCGCAACAACCAATTGATCTGTTTTTATATTTCTTGTTTATAAACCATAGCTTGATCATCTTGAAATATTGCTGATGAATAATGTATGTTACATTATCGTTGAATTTCATGCTTTTGGGTGTCGTATTTGATAGTTGTATGATATATCAGACATTTTATACGGTCTAAATTGCTGCTATATACTACTTAAATATTAAAGGAAATATTGTTTTTATTTATGAAAGTTAGTTTTCGTAAAAAGGATGACCATAGTGATGTAAAATAAATAATTCTAATATCAGAAGAGGGTTTAGTGGTTGCTATAGTAATTTCAGTAGTTGAGATCGTGAGCCAATTGAAGCTAGATCACCATGGAGAACCTGGAAGCACAGGACGGCCATTTTGTCGTAGTATGGGACTCCTCATCAGTGCACATCCACGATCCCGCCTAGTGAAACCGATAGGTCCTGGTTTTGAATCTCACTTGGCGGGATCATGGATGCGTGGTATTAAGGAGTCTCATACTACGACAAAACGGCCATCTAGTGCTTCCAAGTTTTCCATGGTGATCTAGCTTCAATTGACTCATGATCTCAACTATTAAAACAAATATTCTTAAATATTTATTGATATATAAACAATAAATTGACATGATCACAAATAACTTCAACCAATCTACGATGTTACGCCACCGTACACCATTGTCTCCAGTGAGTTACTATCTCACAACAGACCTGGTTGAACTCCAATGGTAACGGCTTCTCACTAGAACTCCAGAAGTTTTTCCTGAAGTCAGTCACTAGTGAGCAGTTGATTATTATCAGAATGGGTTTTGTGACAAATTTCACAGATTGAAACCTGTGACATTTCTAAAACTCTTCACAAAACCCATTCTCACAAATAACTGGTTGAAAATTCTTTGAAAAAAAATAAAAGAATTTACCTAATATGTTAGTTCAGTAGATTCGTTAACCAAATAAATCAAATTTACACAATTTTGAAATAGATTTGTTAACAATATAAATTTATCAGTTATATTTAAGTATGAAATATGCGTTTGATCACTTGTTTAATGATAATATATAAAGAGTAAAGAATTTTATTGATTTATTACCAATATTCGTCATATACATACTTTTATGTTAGATATTTTATTTTAATCACCGACTAGATTTCAGTTTCCTTTATTCATTGTTTCTTCTTTTTTTATTTATAAAATATCGATTTAACAAATTTGTTTGTTTGTTTGTACATAGTGTAATTTGTTCTAGTTTTATTTTATTGATTATTACGAAAGACCGATTCAATGAATTATTATATTAACTCAGGTTGCCATACCATCAAAAAACAGCCGATAATAAACTATCAATTTAAATTCATTTGGTATTTATTTTGCTTGAATCTTCTCATTAGGGTTTAAGACTGCAATTGATCAGTCTGTTATTGGCATATGTGCATACTGTGTGTATTGCCTCGATATTGCCTTAATTCACAAGTTTTTTGTAAGCAATGATAGATAGTGGCCAACAGTGGAATCCAGGATGTGTGTTTCGCCCTATTTGGGATTCGTCAGCTGGATGTACCTGCATCTCGGAGTTGTTCACTCTGGGACTCGAACCCAGTACCATTCGCTTCAAACACCATCGCGTTATCCACTCAGCTACCGCGTCCTGATAGCCACTTGCTTGTGTAATGGGGTGAATTTAAATTCACTTGGTATTGTTTTGTTTAAATCTTCCCATGAGATTCAGGTACATCCAGCTGACAAGTCTCAAATAGGACGAAACGCGCGTCCTGAATTCCACTGCTAACCACTATCCATCTTATCAATTTAAATGTTTTATTTTTATTAGATAAAATGTTTAAAACTCTGGTTGGAAATTATATACATGATTCTAGTTTCAAACTTGTAAACTGATTACTTTTTAATTAAATCATACTGTAAATTAAAAGGAATTAGCATTGTGATTAATTTTTAAAAATCTTCATTTGTAATTGATAGTTATTTTGGGTAAAGATTGTTACCAGAAAAATAAATTGTTCAATCGGTAAAGTTATATTTTTCTACACCAAATATTGAAAGATACTGTTGCTGTGCCAGTAGCTCAATGTATTTGAATACAATTAACCAAGAGATTTCAATTCATTTGGTTCTTTACGATTATAACTAAGCTTTAGAAACATGGGTTATGTTTAAATTCTAGGAATTATGTAACAAAAGGCTTAGTACGAGGAACAAATAATTAACAACATCTTGTTCTCAGTTGATATGTGATTGATATTAGTTAATAACAAAATTTATTTTGCATTTTTAACGAAAATGTTCCATGTCATAAAGATCATTGCATAATACATTATTTATGTACTTAATTAAATCCTATTTCCTACTTAATTGATCATGTAGTTAGATGGTAATAAAAGCTTTTGTATATTTCCATAATATAAAGTGATTATTCATTTTAATAGAATTATAAATATATTCCTGTTAGTGAACTAAAAGATTAGTACTAAATGTCAAAATTATGGCAATTTACAAGTAAATAAGAAGCAAGTCGTCTGATGAATGCCAGTCAACCAGATGGCTTTTGATTGAAGTAACTTGAATTTATACAAGAAAGCATCATTTTAATTTGTCAAGTAGACTAGTTGAAACAAGGAGCAAAAGTTGTAGTCTTTCAACATCATCAACATCATCATCACTCACCCACTCACTGACTTTATAAAGCTGGGTGTGTTTAACATCTTCGTACTTTTTGCGTTAAATTGATATTACTAAAATGGGGGTTTGTGGAGATTGTAGTGATTTTAAATACTTGAGTTCATGAGTCAAAGTAAGCTAGACAACCATCGAAAACTTGGAAGCAATAGGCGATACCACATACATGATCTTGGATGAGCACAGCTGAAGAGTTCCATACTAGGATGAATAGGCCATCCAGTGCTTCCAGGTTTTCAATGGTCGTCTAGCTTACGCTGACTCGTAAATTCAACTATTAAATGGATATCATTAATTCACTGATATAAAATAGCATATATTTATATATATTTATATACATGTCACTTGTTTAAATCAGTTTGTAAACATTTTCATCATCACAAACCTAAATTACCTGTAAAAAAAACACTAATTATAACATAACTTTAAATGATATCCATCATTGTTCATAATGTTATATATGACTATTAAACTGTTATGTCAGTTATTCAAAGTCGACAATACCAAGTTGACCGAGGTCTATTTTACAAACAAATAATTTTGATGTATATCAATTTAGTGGATACGATGTAGTTTTTATGTTTGTTCTTTTTTCTCTTTTAAATTTATATTATTAAAATTAATAATTAATTATGTTGATCAATTAACAAATGAATTAGTATATGGAGATGATAAATTTAAACTGTATATCTAGTTTGAGAGCAATATGTAGATAGAGTATATTGTAACGATTAAAATTGCAATGGAATCAAAATTGTTTTTATTATGTTGCTTATAATGTTCGTGATTTAAGGCAGTACCGAAGAATATAGGATGCATGTATGCTAACATGAAATTGTTCAATTGCAGTCTTAAACATCAATAAGAAGAATCAAACAATCAATATAAACATGAATTAGACTTATTCCTGTTGCATAAGCTAGTAGCTATCTGGACTCAGTAGCTAAGCGGATAATGCGGTGGCTTTTAGTGAGAACGGTACTGAGTTCGAGCACCGGATGAAAAGCGCGTCCTGAATTCTACTATTAACCACCATCATATCTGATTATAATACTTGTGACTTAAGGCAGTATCAAGGCAATCCACACAGGATG